AGACAAAGTGAGTGTGTGAAAAAGCGAATACAGGCCTGGTTTAGGCCTCTATGAGAAGGCGACGTTCACACATACACACACACACACACACAGTCAGTAAACCTGCAGGCCACTGCACTAGTAACTGGCAGTAAACAATTTATAGCGGCCGACTGCTTCCGCCATGTTTGCAGTGGCTGCCGGTACGATGGGGGGCATCGGCGTCACGGGCGCTAATTAGACACGACAGATCCGAAAATCACGGCAAACACGGCGGTCTCTGGTATTTCATCAACAGCACAGAAAACTAACAAAAAGGTGTAGGCCTGGGCAATACACTACACTGCCTACACTACCTGCTGCTACGCCTGTCAGAGCCTCTGTCGAGGCCCCAGACAGAGCGGGACAGATGAGTTCCGTTAGTGGTTGGGTGAACGTTCATCAATGAGTGTCAATATCCCTCGTCCTAACCCGGCAAGACAACAAACTTGTGGCTCAGTGGTTAGGGCGTTGGACTTTGATCAAAGAGGTCGCGAGTTCGAGGCTCGGGTGGTGCACCACTCGTGTCTGGATATGACTGGCTAGCGACGGCCAAAAAATCAGAAATGGTCATTCTAGTCTAGCTTATATTTGCCCGTAATACAGTCTACCAACACCCATTCCGCTAAGAGAGGCATGGCGAGAAGTCGAGCACCAAGAAGACCACTTACGCAGTCGGACCAATCCTCGAGTCTGTCATTACGCGTGAGACAACAATGCTTAGCAGGACATTACAACGTGGCGTGAATCGATGCGGATATTTGAACTCACACTTTAAGAATGCGGCTAAAGTGCGGCTGTGAAGCCCTTTGACAGCAGCAAGATGTTTCGATATTGATCCGAAAGTTTGCAAAAACTTGTTTTCAGATACGCTCTTGATCGCCCTTCAAATTGAACTTCATTAGTATTTCCCTGCGGGGTTCATGTGACCAGATTAAGGTAGTAGGATGGCATGGATTATCCCATCTGCTACATAAGTTTTCCCTGCTCAGCATCATGAACCTCGAACGGTGCCCTTTACATTAAATTCCTAGACATAAATCACATTGAGACCACTTCAAAACCGACATTCTCCTCAAGGAGAAGTATAAGAACGAATGGAGTATGTCTGCCAACAGCTGAAGGGGATCGTTTGACTTCCGGACAGACGGGTGGGCGCAACTCCAAGGTCGCGAGAGAGCGTTTGTCATTTTGCGAAGCCTTTGACCCATTGAGTAACTGATCCGGGTTCAAATTGGGATCTGTTCGATCTGCGATTGGGGAGTGAGCCAAAAACAAGGTTTCCTGCATCTCTACAGTGCTGTGGGAAAGCTCATAACGTAAAGCAACTCGACCGTCGTATCCAACAAGGTCAACCGTGTGTCCCATTCATTAATGAACGTTCACCCGACCGCTAACGGGACTCATCTGTCCCGCTCTGCCTTGGGCCCCGCCAGAGGTCCTGACAGCCGTAAAAGTTGGTAGTATAGGCAGAGGACTCATATCCCGCGGAGTGGGAAGGCAATAGAGGCCACATTAAGAAGAAGCCATTTCAGCCTGTCTCCCTGTCCACTAGTAGGTCATTCCACAGAGACACACGCACACACAGGGCCGACCGCGGGGTCTGAATTATCTCGTCAGTTGGAAACCTTCAAAGCCACGGATTTAAGCGCACCTAACTACGTCTGAATGTTTTATAGTGAGAAAACTGTACTAACCAGACGACCATACACTCTGTATTTCCACTCCCAGATTCCAGACACCCTCCAAGCCGGTTGGTGGGCTGGTGGTGGGAATAGGCGCAGCTGCTGATCTCCCCCCTCCTCTAATGACCTCGTCTGCGTGCATCACGTACACAACCTGCCCCCCCCCAAACACAAGCACCAGGATTTCATACATTTCACGCATGTGAAAGTGCAAGAGGTCACGTGATTGCAGCCTGACTCTCGGAGCACCAGTCGGTCACTTCACACGAATTAGGCTGGCTACAAAGTCCAATTCGGCATAATGTGACAACAGGGTAATTTGAAAGGAAGCAAGAATTGAACGAGTTTTCTCCAGCCTTCGAAAGTGTCCATGGACCCGACGCGATATTTCTATCTCCACAAAGGTCCGCGTGTACCGTGCGTTTGTACGGTCTGTTCTTAGATGCAAATGCGAATGCTGGGCTATGCGCGTGGAAGATGAACGGAAACTGAAAGTCTTTGACCACTACTGCTCGAGGACCATCTTTCGAATGAAGTACACAGATTTTGTCTCAAATGAGACAGTCTGCACTCCCTGCGACGACATCGTAAGGATATCCCGGGCAATCCAAGAAAGAAGACTGAGGTGATTTGGACACGTTCTTCGCCGTCAACCTCACAAGCTTAGTGTTACTGCCCTCGACCCGAAACCGTTACCTAATTGTTCATGTGGGGGTCAGCTCAAAACCTGGCTCGACTCAGCCCGTCAGGACATGGAGGCGGTTCTTGGACTTTTGGTATTCGGTATCCGGCGCTGGCGTAAAGAATGGCTTGGACTGTCCAGGTCTAATGCCACGGATCGTCGCGCGTGGAGAAGCGTCGGCTAGATCAGTTATGATCACAGCCGCAACAAGTACAAGTAAGTAAGAGCAGAGTAGCTGCTCTGTTGGGGAGAAAATAGAGTTTTAAAGAAGTAACAAACACAAGACAAATAGAGGAGCAGTAAGCAGGGTTGCAAAGACATACCGAGCCATCAGAGGCGCTGGCGCCGACTTTGTCCCCACGTGAATTCCAGCAGACCTCGAAGATTCCGCCGGTGCCTTGGTAGGTGTTAATAAGCTCGCCGCTCTGTTGAGGGGGAGGGGGAGAGAGGACAGGGCGGAATGAGAGATAGAGGAGCGGATAGCTAAGTCACACAAACAAATTTCTACCAGCCTACCACGAGAGGGGAGGGGGATGGACGGCTAGGCTCCCACGAGACGTCAACACCAGGCTAGGTAAGGACAGCTGTGTTGAAAAAAAAATGGTGGGCAAGCTTGTGCAAAACG